ATTGTTAGAATGTATGACCCCCAAGTGGTGCAGGTATAGCCTAATTTGCTATTACTATTTTGTTCTCATTTAGTTTTTTATGTTTGTTTCTATTTTCAGCATTATCCGAAAAAGTATAAATTATTCACCTTTTTTTTTTTAGTCTTCTTCTTCTTATGTCTGACGGTCCACTGTCAAGTTAATGATCATTCTGGCTCATGGTCTTTATAATATAATATATATATAGATTGGCATTCGTTTGGAATGAAAAAGAAAAAAAAAATTAGTCGAGTTCAAGTTAGAAGAAAATTTCCGTGCACTTTAAACTTTCTCCTCGTCTTGCCCCACTATGTCTGTGCCATAGTTAAGGCCCCTGACCCGATTATCCTTAGCTACTACAGCGTCAGTTGTTGTTTTGTTTAAAGTCCAATTGTAGAACAGTTATAAACGAAACGTTATAAAACTCTAAGCTCAGCGTTTCTTGTGTCTTTACGTATTACTGATTACATTTTTAAGAAGATTTGTATTTTTTATTTTTAACTTAAGGACAGCTTCTCTTATCAGTGTGTCAGTGACGGTTTTCAAATTTAATGACATGAAAGAAGTTCTAGATTGCTATGTTTGTATAACTTTTTGCTGAAATCAGCATTTATTTCTCTATTGTAAGAGAACTTTCCAAGAGAGAGTTTGTAAAAACAATCATTACAGAGAGAATCATAGTTCTAGAAATCATTATGTACGAGAGATACGTGTTTGTATCTGCCTAGAAAAATATGACAGAAAGAGTGGTATTTTAGAGGACTGGTTGATGGGACTTACACAGAGAAGGTGTGACAAGAATGTGGATGAGAGAAACAGGACTATGCAGGAAGAAAAAAATAAAGATGGGGATGTAATATATCAGAAAATAGGAGAAAGATAGTGAAAAGGAAAGAAGGAAAGTGAAAGAGACAAAACATTAAGAGAGAACAAGTGAGAGGGAGACATAGGAAGCAAGAGAAAAGGTGAGAAGGAGACAGGTGAGAGGTAGTGGAAGCGGAGAAGGTGAGATGGAAAGAGAAGAAGGTGGAGAGCGAGAAAGAGAGGGGACACCTGAGTTAGAGAAAGGACGTAAATCAAACGTTCATTCATTTAATTTTTTAAAAATGTTTATTTATTTACAGTTCTATAACTATACATCACACACATTACATAAAATCAACTGACATAATATAAAATATATTTACAACAGATGTCAATCATGTTATGTAAGATTAGCGATATCCTCATCTAGTAAATTAAAGTGTGTGTGGTGGTAACTTATACTCCGCTTACAATGCTTATATTCCCATAATAATATCTTGTCCCATCATTACTAATTTTAATATAAATATTGTTATATAACTATATAACTATTATATAAGCCAATGACAAAAAATTTTCCCATGGAGGTTTGTGGGTTGGAGTGGTAACAGAAATATACATAAAAAAAACAAACTAAAAAATCCTTTAAAAAGTCAAATAAAAATAAATGTCTGCCTGTGTTTGTAATAAATTCACTATTAGGTGATATCACTGGATGGGAATGAAAAGGTCAGACAAAGTAGTTTTCTACAAGTGAAAAATATAAATAAAATCATAAGTATGGTATCTAACAAGAAAAGAAATGCAATTTACCAGGGAGACCAAATAATTAACTAAATATATATCAGCATCTATTTGACATCACTCATCATCATCTACTTAATATATTTGCATGGGTGAATGTTAGCATCTTTAACCAAGTACATTTATGGTATCCTGGCCTGGCACAGCTGTTAAATTCATGACCTGGAACAGCTGTTGGCATCATGACCCAGTAAAGCTGTTGGTATCATGACCCAGTAAAACTGTTGGTATCATGACCTGGTACAGTTTGTATCCTTAAAAACCCTTGGCATGATTCAACACCTGGACTTGTTAGCATCCCGATCTTGTGCACTTGTTAGCATCCCGATCTTGTGCACTTGTTGGCATCCCGATCTCGTGCACTTGTTGGCATCCCGATCTCGTGCACTTGTTGGCATCCCGATCTTGTGCACTTGTTAGCATCCCGATCTTGTGCACTTGTTGGCATCCCGATCTTGTGCACTTGTTAGCATCACGACCTTGTGCACTTGTTAGAATCACGACCTTGTGCACTTGTTAGCATCCCGACCTTGTGCACTTGTTAGCATTCCTGCTGGCCGTTGCAATGTGAGAGAACTGGAGGGCCAGAGGCTACGCTGACGTACTTGGGTTGTATATCTAGCTGCCTCGTTATTTTCTCGTACATATCAGTAATTGGTTAAATTATGTGTGATTAACACAGGGGGACCATTCACTTAAAGTACATCTGTCTTGTACACATTTCGACCGCCTAGATGCCGTACATCTGCCTGGTGTTGTCCCGACAAGCCTTCAACACGGCGTCCGTGGACAACCTCCTCAGCTCAGCAACCGCCTTGGCCGCGAACAGGGCGAAGCCAAAATGGGCCGTGGAAACGAACTTCTGAAAAAGGACGATATCAGATTTGTTAAAAAAAACATATGAAAATATATCTACATAAAGATGATGGGCTGTTACAAAAAGAATAGGTAGTACAATACACAACCGTTACAAAGATTGAGAAATACAATATTATATAAAATCTTTCGCATGGTAAGATAGACTCTCGCCATACGCTTTTACAACAAATGGTATAAAACCAGATATTTATTTGATGGAACAGAAACTATGATATATTTAATTGACCATAAACTATGATATATTTGATGGACCAGAAACTATGATATATTTGATGGACCAGAAACTATGATGTTGTCATTGTTGATTGCATCCATCGTAAACATGGGCGCAGCTCAATTCACCAACTGGATTGGAATTGTAAGGGCAAGGAAGGGGGGGGGGGGCGCATGAACATCCAAATGCTTTTTTTTTTAAATTGGTCGAACGGACCTAATTAAAACTGAGGACTTTGGCTATTCTGTTATGCTGAATCATAAAAAATAATAGATTTTCTTTTTCTCTTTGAGCATTGTGACCTCAGCAAGAAACCCCACATTTATAATTATCATATATATCTTTCATTATTGCTTACCCTAAAATCCTCAGGAACTGTTTGAGAAGCCCCAGATTCCAGCAGGATCCGGTTGAGAGGGATTGAAGCGACCATCTCCTTCACGGACCTAGATGAGCTGACGTCACCAATGGCCGGGGACAGTCCGAAGTAGACGTTGGGGTAATGGGACAGCCAGCGATTGGCCAGGACCATGTCGCCAGTAAACCCATGGAGGTGAATTTTCTGTGTATTGGGCAGGTGCTGTAAGGATAAAGGATTATGCATCGTTTACACATGGTGCTGTTTGGTTCGGTGAATTGATGAAATATAAAAACAGATTAAGCAAACCAATGAATCAGACTGACACACATTCCTAAATTAATATACATAGCTCCCCCTATAAATATATACATTTCATACACACACATAACTAAAAAAAATATGAATTCAGATGCAGTGATTTAACAGAACACCCATTTAAGTTACATCCGATATTATTAAGTTCGACCTCAGAACTTAAACTTTTCAATTAGACCAAAGCATTTGAACAATGTTTGTTAGGGAGAGATAATGTAAACCAACGGCATAAATACAACAAAAATAAACAATAATGAACTAAATTGGCGTACCTAGAGTGGGGTAAAAGGACGCGACTACTACGAAAGTCATGTGTAAATCATTTTGTAAATCTCCCCCTGGGAGGATTTAATTTAATCAAGATACATCTCTGGGATTCAGAATAATTTATAAAATGTTTCCTTTGAAAAAAATGTGTTTCATTTATATTTTTTTTTGTTAAAAAAAACAATTTACCTTCTGTAAGATAGCGATGACGTCATCTTCTGCTTCTCTGCATTCGACGACCAGGGGGATGTTCAGTTTTGCCGCCACCCGGACCTGGGCCTCGAACACAAAACTCTGAATCCAATCAAGCGTGTCGATGGTGTGGTCCAGACCGCACGGTCCAAGCGCAACGACCCTCGCTGTTGAGCTGGCAATCTCCTCCAGACTTCTCTCGTGGGCGTCGTAGAAGTAGGTAGCTTTATGGGGTGGGCATCCCAGGGTGACCCAGATTCCATCTTGACTTAAGGCAAATTTGAGGAGCTCGTCATCAGGGACTGCAACTTAATAAAGTAAAAAGAAAAAAAATTATTTTTCATTTTTGGTTTTTTGATCTGGCACTTTGCGGTAGCATTTCCAATTAAATTTAACATTTGCTCACTTTAAAAAAAAATCATTATTAGAAATTACTTTACTTTTTTTCTAGCGTAGACGAAAGACAATGTTTCCCAAAGTTGGGCGTAATCTCTAGCATTGTGACAATTTGAAGATAAAAAAAAATTATGGGATAAATATTTTGTATGGCTGAAGGGGTGTGTGAGTACATGTATTGGGGATACTCCAATGATTGATGGATACGCCAAAGACAATAGACCGGACATGAGGATGTGAGTCCCTAGGCGGGCAGTTGGGAATAAAATGGTTTGAAAACATTCTTTTCAGAAAGAAAGAAAAAATTACATTGACTTTTAAATAATTAAGAAATCTCACAAATTCATGGACTTAAAAATTCCAGTGGATGAAAAAATGTGTCCTATTTATCCAGTGAATTTGACGTGTGAACCAGATGATGGCAACAAAGATTGTAAGAGAGGTAAATAAGGCTAGTGTGTTTCTGTAGGGGCGCATGACGTCAACAAATACCGTATCAATGAGATAGAATGAGAAACCAACGTATTATTTTATCATCTATAATTAGTGATCAATACATCACATTTATGGTATATCTACTTTCACATTTATTGTGTAATTTATATCACATTTTAAGCTTCTTCTAAATTATAATACTACTGATCTTTATATTACATTGTGATGTGTAGAATATCATTTTTTTTAGATATTTTAAAACCTGTAGTTTGGGTGATATTTGAAATTATATGCATTAAGATACTTAGTTATTTTTCCATTACAATTTTACATTTATTTATTTCAATTTTTGTTTTTATATTAATTTTTCAACTGTATCTCACACTATACGATCCTTTACACCATGTATGTGTACTATATGTAATGCGCCATACATGCAATATTTGGTGGAAACATCCAACTCATTTTCCCCAGAAACCTTAGTTTAGCTCGATGAGGGCGAATTCTTTCATATAAAAGTTCATTTGTCACCTATATTTGTCACAATTCAACAACGTGCTCCCCCAACTGTATCTAAAGAATCTCTCGAAAGGACAATGTTGTTCTTAGGGGAGTGAAGTTCCTTTGGCTCATGACGGCTGATGATTTGCGCATAGGTGAAGTCACTGAAGTACACTTGATATGTTTTGAACTTGACCATGTCTGTCTTGAATGCATAAGAATATCCAAGTGCTGAATGGATATAGTGCTCAACATATTTCATCGTTGCATGCGAAATAAATTTAATTCATTTGATTTTGTTTTGTATTTTGTAAAATTGAATTCTAGGATGTGGCACGCGATATAAAAACTTCATGAAAGTAATATTAGGAAGAATGTGTTTAACATTGAACTTCTCACTATTAATAATGAACTTAATGTTCACTTACTGAGATTAATATAGGAGCAGATTTCATTGGAGGGCTCAACGTTCAACTGAACCCAGGATCCCCCCACCCCCAATTTAAAAAAAAAAAAACGGTAATATAATTATTTAAATGTGTAGTGAAGTTGCTGTGCGACTGAGAAGTGGAGATTATATAAACATTTCAATAAAAGTTTGCTTATTTTACATTCACCCCTATAGTTTAAGTTCAAATGAAATTCTATCGAACACAAATTCCGTCGTACAATTTCTGGTACACTAAGGGTACCAGAAACTTGATTTTAAATCGCGAGTCCAGAAATGAGCAAACAACTGCACGAGGCGTAATTTCTACAACTGATCTTAAAATGTAGCTTCTTTTTTTACCACCATTTATTTAGACAAGCCATAGATTACATAATTTTATTTAAACTTTTTCAAAGTTTCTGTGGACACGCAAACAGCGCACGAAAGCTTACTCAGAGTATACAAATGAAAAAAAACTATAAATTAATTCAGATTTTATTAATCGAAATTTTTATTTTCCGTTGTCGAAATGAACGGAGCTCTGATCAAATCAACTATGTAGTCAACAGTTGTTTTATTATAATAGACAACCATATACATTCGTTATTCGATTTGTGTAAAAAAAAAAAGATGACAGATATATCATGTGTCAGTGCAGTTCATGATCAAAATTATTAATGTAATTGTAATTCGTGTACATTTTTATTTTGAATGCAATAATTGTTTAAACAAATATAATTATTTACCTATTTAATTTTAATTTGAAAGCATCATTGGTAATATATTAAGCTATACACACGTGTAACCATTGGATGCATGTTTCCTGCATATGTAACGGACAAACAGGCAACAAACGGACTAACGTAGAGACACGGACATTTTAGAGCACACGGAAAAATCTTAATGATTGTCATTTTTTATCCGACTACGTTTAATTTTCATATATAGGTATATTTAAGCATATCCAATTTTTATGCAGAATTAGCAATCATATACATGTTTTACTAATGTTATTCAATTTGTATAAACAATAACAAATATCAATGACCTGAATTCAAGATATTTTTAAAATGATTTTTGTTAAGAAAGACGAAAGGTCTTTTTACCAAAGGGTTCAAAAAGACATTGTCTAAAATAGTTTATAGTTTACTGCATTATTTAATATTCATTATGGCTTTATATTTTTTGTTATTTATATTTTTATTCTGTTATCAGTTTCGTTTTTTTAAATTAATAGTTTTATTAATAAATTCAAATGAAGTTGCTATTATACTCGTAAGTACTAAACGAAACCGGTGATAATATATATATGTATATGTATATATATAAATTAATATTTTCACTAACTACATTTTAACGGCAATTACATCAGCTATAGTTTTAGATGTTGTATTTCTTATTACATTAAACAAAAATTATCTTTAAAAATGTTACAAATCTAGCACTAAGATTAAACGAATACCATATAAAACTACATAATAATATTTATAATATATAGAGGTAAAAATGAAAGATCAACTTACATTTGGGTGCAAATGTCCTGGGGTTGGTAAAGGCGGCAATGAATCCATCCACGTTGACAGGCAGGGAAAAGCAATCCGTGTGGAAGGCCTTGTCTCGGTTCAGGCACCCGACGAGCTCGTCCACTCTGCAGTGGGAATCGACGAAGCCGTACGTGTACCCGTAGCTGCGTCGCGTGAAGTCTTTTGCCCACTTGGCCGTGTTGAGCAATTCAGACTCCATGTCCTGGCTGGGGATAAGTTTGCAGCGCTGTACCTGGCCGGCTGAACGGCGTTTGACAACTCTGAAGTTTCTCAGCAAGTTGTTAAAGTGGTGAAACTTTGGGCCCAGCTTGACTTCCGATTGTTTAATTGGTTCACCAACAGCTCTTTGTGGATTGGTCGGAATGTCTGAGAGGCGTATTCTCTTCGCCTCGTTACCATCTTCCGTGGAACCACCAGTGCGCTTGGAACTCATTGGTGGAGAGAGATTCTCTCGATCGGATTGACCCTTCTCAAAGCAGTATGGGCGTTTGCTTAAGATACTGTCACGTGGAGAACTGTTCGCAGAACTGCCGCTGCTCACTGAAGACTCTGATGTGCTGGTAGCTCTCCCCAAAGTCTGACACAGAGCGTCCTTGTCTGTTGAAAGACTTACATTCTTTGACTTTTTAACAACGTAACGACCCATGTAGAGTTTTTTGGACGGCTCAGTTGCCATGACGACCGGGATAATCTCACGACGGCAGTTTTTGTCTGTTAGCTCATTGTCCAGGTGTTCAGGATTGCCATCCAGCGACGCCGACGGAGCTAAGAGCTGATCCTGGACACTAGGTGATGAGGCAAATGATTTCTCTCTTCCTGGATTAGCCACAGGATTAGCAGCAGACCCAGATTGCGGCATAGTATCCACTGCAGACTTGGACATCGAGCGGGGAATCGCACTAACAGTGGCCTTGTTTTTGGCGATGATCGCCATCGCAAGTTTAGAACGTTGTACGGTGGCCAAATCAGTTTTAAATGGTAGCATGGTAGACATGGAAGGCTTAGATGGTGGTATCTTATCCACAGCAGGCTTAGATGGTGGTATCTTATCCACAGCAGGCTTAGATAGTGGTATCTTATCCACAGCAGGATTAGATGGTGGTATCTTATCCACAGCAGACTTAGATGGTGGTATCTTATCCACAGCAGGTTTAGATTGTGGCATCTTATCCACAGCAGACTTAGATTTGGGCACCTTATCCACAGCAGACTTTGATTTGGGCACCTTATCCACATCAGGCTTAGCTTGGGGCACCTTATCCACAGCAGACTTATATTTGGGTACCTTATCCACAGAAGGCTTAGATTTGGGCACCTTATCCACAGCAGGCTTTGATTTGGGCACCTTATCCACAGCAGGCTTAGATTGCGGCACCTTATCCACAGCAGGCTTAGATTGGGGCACCTTAACCAGAGCAGGTTTAGATTGGGGCACCTCATCCACGGCAGGCTTAGATTGGGGCACCTCCTTCAAGGCAGACTTAGTTAAGGGCACCTTATCCACAGCAGACTTGTTTGATGTTATATCAACTATTGCTACCTTCAATGAGGACATGGTGTCAAAAGAAGACCCTTGTGGCGCCATGTTATCGTTTGATGTAGCTGGATTATCTTCACTTGAAAACTTTTGTATAGCAAGAAGGATGCGATCAATTGTCCTGGCCATCTTCTGAAATGTCAAACATGCACTCAGATAAATGAGCTTACGTTACGGTAAACTTGATTTCTTTCTATTGGAAAACAAGTTCATTGTATGGCTTTATAGTCATTGCATTATAAAATTAATCTGAAACTTTACTGTGACTGATACTAAATGTACTTTAAATAGCTGATGCAAAAAGTAGATACTCAATGTACTTTAAATAATGGATGCTAAATTTAAACTTACTTTAAATGATTGATATATGCATTTTAAATGATTGATACTAAATTTATTTTAAATGATCGATATTAACTGAGTACCTTAAATGATTGATACTAGCTGA